GGCCACAGTTTCTCCATCCATCGGTCAAGATGGTCTTGTCACCCTTGGCTCATCTTTGAGTCTTCATGACTTTCTTTCAAATACTTGTCTTTGTGGGGCAGCGTTCCCATAAACGTGTTGCAAAGCTTGGATTATTTTGGAAGATGGCCACTTGAGTTTTGTTAAAAACTTGCTATTAGTCTTGACTTCAAAATATGTTTTTCCCATGGCACAAAAATGTATCTTAAAAAAAAAAAAATCCAAGTCAATTTTACCTTATTTTTTTCTCAGAATCTTTTTTTTTTTTGTAAGGCACCCTAATCAGACTAAGGAGTCCTGCTAAGGCTGTGGGGTAAGTGTTAACTGCTAACTGCAAGGGAAGTAGTTCAAACCCACAAGCCGCTCTGATGGAGAAAGATGAAGCTGTCTGTTCCAGCAAAGATGTACAGCCTCGGAGACTCTAAACAGGTTTGCTGAGTCCACTCGAGAGCAATCGGTTTGACTTGGAGTTTTTAAAACAAGCCAAGAAAAGTGCAGTGCCGAGAGAACTTGTCTGTTAGTCACAGAAAGGAGCATCTCCAAATTGGAAAGTGTACATCTACGAACAAAAGCCACAGCTAACATCATACTAGGTCCCTACTTATCCCAGGCAGTTTATGCCTGAATTGGGCTGCTACCTGCAAGGTCAGCAGTTTGAAACCCACCAGCCGTTCCTCGGGAGAAAGATGAGGCTTTCAACTTCGATGAAGATTATGGTTTCGGACACACGAAGGCGTAGTCTGAGTCTCTTCCCTATGGGGTCGCTCTGAGGTGAGGTCAACTTGATGGCAGTGGGTTTGTTTAGGAATGGAGATTTCTAACCCTAAGCTGGGTGGCTTGAATCCGCCTGGAAACCTGCTTCCATAAGATGACGGCCATTGCACAGCTCACGGGGTGCAGTTCTACCCCAAACACAGGGTCGCCATGAAACGACATGAACACGCATGGCCATGGATACACACACACACACACACAACTTATGGGTGAAACACTAAATGTTTTCTCTACAATTCAGAACAAGCCAAGAATCTGTACTTCCAACATTACACTGGGAGATTTAGCCAATGTGATCATGGGGGTGGGATGGGGGAAGTGGAGGAGAAGGAAAAGAGTGGGTGTATCGAGGTTGAACGGGAAGAAGTAGCATTGTATTATTTGCAGAGAACAGGATCCTGCCTGGAGGAAAAAATGCTCGGGCACGCTCAGAAGAACTCGTAGGAGCGATAAATGAGCTCAGTCAGGTCAAAGAATACAGCGAAACTCAACCCCCTGCCAAGTCGACTTAGACTCCCAGTGACCGTTAGCACCCAGAGGGACTGTCCTGGTGTGCTTCTTGATGGGAGCCGGAAGCTTCGTCCGTCTCCACAGAACTGCGGGGTGGTCCCAACGGCTGACCTCGACCGTCTCAGTTCAGCGTGTAGCCCACCAGGCCGTTACCAGGCCCCCTTCAGAACAGACGAGCAAAACACAAACATCCACCGTGCCCCAGCAGTGTCTGAGGACGGGGTTAACATTCCATTCACCACGCATAGGAAAATAAGCAATAACAACACGTTCATCAACCATGACTTAGAGACAGCAGTGACGATTCACTGCTCCCCCGTGGAGCTGATTCACTCAGTCGTCATGAAGGGCGGGCAGGCCACTCCTTTGGGTGTCTTCCTGGCAGCAGAAAGCCTCGTCTTTTTTCCCTTCTTTTTATTAAATCTTTTTATTGGGGCTCGTACATCTCCTATCACAATCCATCCATCCATCCATCCATGTGTCAAGCACATTTGTACATATGCTGCCATCATCGTTCTCAAAGCATTTGCTTTCGACTTGAGCCCTTGGTATCAGCTCCTCATTTTTCCCCCTCTCTCCCTCACCCTCCCTCCCTCATGAACCCTTGATAAGTTTATACATTATTATTTTTATACCTTACGTCATGTCTGTCACCCTTCATTCACTTTTCTGTTGTCCCGTGGGAGGGGGTTATATGTCGATCCTGGGGATCGGTTCCCCTTTCTACCTGCACCTGGCCTCTCCTTCTCCCACAGGTTCAAACTAGTGGGCTCACACTGCCGGCCATGAAGTCAGCAAGCCAACTTGTTGCCCACTATGCTTCTGGGGCTCCTGATGAGTCAGTGAAACCCTTACTCGTTCACTAAGAATGAAACAGCTAATTCTTAGCCCTTACTGATGGATCACTGGACAAAAAGGAGCATAAGACTGTGTATTGAACATCACAACGCGCTGACGGTGAGAGAAGGTAGTGCACTGAATAAAGAGAGGCATTTCTGGCGGAAACCTCAGTCACTGTGAGCCAGTCCCCTTCTCCCTGGACAGGTTCAACGCCATCCCTACCAAATTCCCAGCCGGCTTTTTTTTTTTCCTTTTTCCTTTTTCTTTATTATTTTTTTCCTGGCAGAAATAAACAAGCTGGTTTTAATATTTATATGAAAATACAAAAGTCTCAGAATAGTCAAAACAATTTTGAAACAGAAGAACAAAGTTGGAAGACTTCCCAGTTTCAAAAATCTATTCTAATCAGGACAGCATGGCGGTGGACATGGCCATGGGTGGATGGAATGAAGAGCCCAGACGGAAGATTTTGCCTTTAGGGTCAACGGGGTTTTGACCAAGGAGGCAAACAAAAGTAATTCACCGGAGAAAGGTTGGTCTTCAGCAAAGGGTGTTGGGGTCACGGGGTAACCACATACCCAAAGGTGATTTTTGACTTTTATACCATTAAAGAATCGTAACTCGAACTAGAGCACACATCTAAATGTCAGAACAAAGGTTTTTCAAGTTCTTGAAAAACAACAAACAAATCAACAACAATCCACCACAGAGAATCCCTTCTGATGGAAGGGCACTCGGGAGCAGCCTGGCCTTTCCTCCTCCGCACCTGGGGGGTTCCCCGGGGACCTTTCTGTGAGCAGCCAAACGCGGACGACACAGCCACGGGGCTTCCAGAAAAACACAGGGACAATCTTTGGGCCTTTGAGTTCTTGGATTCTCAGTGTTAATACAAGCAGAGGGGCAGAGAAAAAGAGGGGGGCCTCAACAAGGTGGATCGACACAGTGGCTGCATCGAGGGGCCCAGACCTAAGAACCACGTGAGGCTGGCGCGGGACTGGGCAGGGGTCCATGGTCGGGCTCAGGGTCGACGTGGGTTGGGAGCCACTTGATGGCTCCTAACAACAAGGACAGCAGCCACAAGGATTCTTGGGCACAGTCCCACCCCCAACAAAAAGGAGGCTAATTGGATTTTGTAAAAAAAATTTAGAACTTTTGCAATTCAAAGGGGAAAAAAATGAGTGATTGCAAAGGTATGTTTGATAAAGGACTTGTACACAGAATACATAAAGAAGTCTTGCAACTCAAAAGCCTACTTTGAGTCTAC